AAAAAAAACAAAAGTCAAAAGAGAAGATGGACAAAAGAAGGAGAAGTTCCTCCTCACCCATGCAGTTCTTCATCATCATGAAGCCGCTCTCGTAGCCCTCGAAGCACTCGCACTCGAAGCTGCCCGGGGTGTTGACGCAGGTGCCGTGGCCGCACAGGTCGGGGGAGATGCGGCACTCGTCGATGTCTGGAACAGGAGTCGGTTTGAAGAGTGAGGCCTCGCTCGGTGTTTTGGATTAAAATGTGAAATTCAAACCAAGGTCACGCCCTCTCACCTGTGCAGTTCCTTTCCTCGGCCGTGAGAGCGAAGCCGTTGTTGCAGCGACACTTGAAGCTGCCGATGGTGTTGCGGCAGGTTCCGTACGTACACAGACGGTTGAAGACCTTACACTCATTCACATCTGGTCAACACACACACACAGAGAGTTATTAATTAGTCAGAACCGAGTCATTGTCTCTGAAGTAAATCCCTGAACTGCCCAGGAACAGCAGCATCGGAACTAAAAACTCAGAACTGTTACACAGATCTGCACAATTTCAACAATCAAATTATTGTTGATCAAACCTTAGAATACATGGACAATTATCAAGATTGAAGACGGAACAAAACTGATCTGAAAAAGGGAATTTTTGTGGGGATATTTTCACCTGGATAGAACCCAGAAATAATAGAAAGTTGAGGCAAAACATATTCAACTTTACAGTTAAAAACCTTGACAGTTATTTGATTTCTTGTAACACTTTCAGTGGTTTTTTGAGAAATGGAGAAGAAAATGATACGGACGACTTCAGCACAGACTTTGACAAATTACTGAAGAACCAGTATTAGTTCCATGTAATAAAATCCAAACTACGGCTCTGATCATTTCATGGTCAGTGATTAGAACCAATCGTTTTCAGTCCTCAACAAATGGACCGGATAATGGAGCGATGTTTGGTCGAACCTTTGTAGAAGGGTCTGCCGGTCAGAATGTCTCCTCTGTTGGCAAAGCCCGGTCCTCTGGGGCAGATGGATTTGTACTCGGGCGTGTCGGGTTTGGGACACTCCTCGCAGTCCACGCCCCAGGCGGCACCCACTGAACAGCAGCACATGTCCAGACGATATCTGCCGGGCAGCGGCTCTCCACACTCGTCTTCATGCCACTTCATGAAGCACTGCTCGCTACGGGTATCTAC